CGCGGCCTAAGGATTTGCAACCCATACTGCGATACGTGAGTTGTGATAGTCCGGACAGGACTAATTATACCATGGGAGACACGAGGTTTTATAAAATCAGAGCTTTATTACTTATCGGTAAATCGAGTCTTACATAACATATATATAAATTATAATCTCTTACAAAGGCAAGGAAATCTACACCGGTTGGCCTAACGTCCTTTGTACCCCTAAGGTCTCCCTACTAATGGTTGCCTGCAAAAGAGAGTAAGGGATGAGCGCTAATCGTTAAGTGAATTCGGGTTCCCCTAAACATGCAATAACTCCCCAACCAAACCCAAAATAACAAGCAACAAGCAACCAAGCAATGCAACAATCAAATTGTATATACTCTGCGGAGTATACACAACAATGCGCAACGAAATTAAATATGCATGCAACTAACTACTCAACCACTAAACCTAGCGCCCCTCGTATTGATCTTCCCTTCCCTTAGTCGTGAACACCTATATACGTAGCCGCAAAGGCTAAACGAGTATAGAACATGATTAAGTTCTGAGTATCATATTGTGGTGGAAACTCAGGCTACATCGTAATGCAGCACTCGGCCATAGGTTACGAGCCCGTCATCTCCGAGTCTTTGTACCATTCGTGTGTAAGGAACTAGCCACTATGCACACACTACTAGGATACAACCTTAGGGAAGCATCACACACGCAAACTATACTAATATGAATGAAACTAACTCATGCAACAAACAATCATGCATAAGCAAATATAAACCATGGGGACTTAACCTCACATGGTTTATCAACAATCAACCACAAAAAATTATGCAATCATACAAGCAAGATTTCATCACAACGATAACCAGATTATACGACTTAACGTATAACCGAGGATCCAAGCAATCAATGCATAATTAACACCTAATCCATTCTAGTTCTCATCAAACAATTAAACAAACAAGTTGGTTTACATGCGTTCATCGAAGAACATGCAACTACATGCAACACGCATAACCTGAACTCACCTTGGCTTAGCTCTCAGGAAACGACTACTTTCGACTCCCTATACGGACTTTGATCCGACCAAGCTTTCTCCGATGGAATGGATCTAAGCATTGGACTGAATCAACCTCTTAAGAAATATTCTAAAACTAAGGGCAAAACTACCTACTGATTAATTACATTAAGCATAATTAATCACTACTCTAATTATGATTAGTCCCGCTAATCATGGTTTAGCTAACCCTAATCATACTTAGGAAATACTAATCTTAATTAACCATTACTAATCATACTTAACAATTACTAATCCTACTTAACCTCATAATTAATTACTTAAATAGTAATTAACTAAAATCAAGTTCTTAAACATATGGAACTTAGCTCGGCTAAGCTATTAAGGACTATCAGATGCCTAGACTTTGACTAACCGCTCAAAGGCACGCTCGGGAACTCTCCGACGAACTAAAGCTAAAGTCTCTAGTTTTGGTGATTTTTGGTGTGAGGAGACAAATGAAACAAAATGGGGGGGGGGGGTATTTATAGGTTGGTAGGTTGGTTTAGGTAAGCTAGAGGTGACATGATAGGCTCAACGAAGCTTATCCGGAAGTCTATCCAAAACCACGGATAGGATCGAATGATCTTATCCGTATGCTCGGATAGGCTCGGGCGTACTTATCCTTTAGCAACAGATAGGCTTGAACGATTTTATCCTTTCATGCTTATCCATAACAGATAGGCTTAAACGTCCTTATACACTCGTTCGTTCGCGGGAAACGTCCGTATTGACCCGTGAACTACCAATAACTTCTCCTTAGATCGTCTACTGTCCCTTCGTACCAAAGCTGATTTTCTTCGTCCATCCTTGATTTTCCTTGAATACCTTGTCTTAGCTCCAAAAATTATTTTTCATCGCTCACGATCAAGTTTTCCTCGATAGCCATTCCTCGGCCTAGTCCTAGTCTTGGTCAGGGGCAAACGCAATCAAGCTATCCCTAAACAATAGATTCAAATCCAGATCAATGCACTTCCATGACAATGATCCTTATAACTTTACGACTTCCTAATCTCAATTTCCAATGATGAAACATAGCAAAGCAGGCTTTAAACACAATCTATTAAAGTCAATAAGCAGTCTAAACATCCAATGTCTTGGGCTAGAACCTACAAATCTCTGAAATTAGTTGGTTAAGACATTTCATCAAACACTTGTTAGGTAGAGAAAGTCTGAAATCAATTTTCTATTGATCTCAAAGAAAATAGCATTAAGAACTCCTAAAAAAGAAGGGAATCATGCATATAAACACTTAGCTGGCTAAAGAACAGAGGAATCCACCTAAATCTAACCCATCCACAAGAACTATGAAGAAGACTACTCAAGAACAATGAAGAACATCATAGAACAAAACCGAGAAACATGGTTGATATATCCTGATTTTTACCGTTTAAAAACTATGTTTTAGGTATAGGTTTTAGAGTCTATTTGTTATTTCTAGAGTCTTTTCTAGTCCTTTTCAGGTCTTTACATGTTTGGGATGCATTTGGAGATTATGGAGCAAAATAGACAACTTAAGCTGTAGAAACAATCCAAAGACAAAAATGCACATAAGTGTCGAACGACACCACCCCTGGTGTCGAGCGACACCAATACCTGACGGCAATTTCGAGACGCAACTTATTGATGTTTTGAAGAATTCCAAATTCGGCCCAGAACTTTTTCCTATTTCTAAAGAAGGCCCATCACGTGTTTTAGGTCATATATATAGTTTTTAAGGTCATTGTTTAGACCTAAGCGTTGGAGAAATTTACTCTTTCTCTTGCTATTATTGATTTCTTATTCAGACTATGATTTGTGTTTCTTTTATTATGTCTGAGTAATCCACTTGTTAGGTTTAGGGTTTCTTATTAGGGATTCATATGGTTTAATAGATCGCCCCTTGCTAGGTTATCTGTAGAATTCTTCATCTTTAATTGTTCTTAATGCTAGATCTAGATTGATCACCTAGAACTTGAATCCTGACAATAGATATGCCCACCATAGGTATCTGTAGTTGGATCTATTATTTGATGAGCCTGGTTTATAGGTGTGTAATAAGAATCGGCCTATCTACTAAGGTGAACAATCGAACTCGTTAAGAATGCATATTTAGGTTGATATAGATCTATAGCTAAGAATAACCGGAGAATCCGAGAAATTATCAACTTAAATATGCATTTTTAACGAGTTCGATTGTTCACCTTAGTAGATAGGCCGATTCTTATTACACACCGATAAACCAGGCTCATCAAATAATAGATCCAACTACAGATACCTATGGCGGGCATATCTATTGTCTGGATTCAAGAGCTAGTTAATTACTCTAGATCTAGCATTAAGCATAATTAAAGATGAAGAATTCTACACATAACCTAGCAAGGGGGCAATCTACTAAAACCATATGAATCCCTAATGAGAAACGTTATTCCTAACAAGCAGATTACTCAGACATATTGAGTATGAAAATATAAACACAACAAATAGATTAAGGGAAAGAAGGGATCTCTTCACTGTTTTAAGATCTGAATCAATCTCTGAAAACACTCAATGAATAGCTTATGTCTCTCAGTAACAGGGTTTGCAAAACGCTTGATAAGAACTTGATAGAAAACTTGATAATCAAAAACTGGATAAACAAAACTTAGGTCTAAACAATGTATAAAAACCCTATAAAACGTCTAGGGACTAATAATGTAAATAGGGAAGTCTTCTAGGGCAAATTTCTACTTCTGGAGACTAGAAAGCGTCTAGGACTTTGTAGGGCCAAAACCGGTGTCGAACGACACCAAGAGTGTGTCGATCGACAAAAAGAGTGTGTCGATCGACACTCCTCTTGATACCTGAATTCAAAATCGTCCTTAGCTTCCTTTTTCTGAGCTTTTGCTCCAAGATGTCTCCTTATCTCCATTGTTGTCCCACTGCATAGAATACTTGAAAAGACACTAAAAAGAGTCGAGAAATAACATAAAGACTCAAAATCCTAACTCTAAATCATAGATAAAATCAGTGAAAATAGGGATATATCAACAAGCTCTCCTAGCTTTTCTAGAACACTCTCCTTCTGTGTAATAGTATTGCACTCTTGGCTCAGCTCAACCATATCCTGAACTTCTTGGGATCTTTCTTTCATCATCAATTTGTGATGGTAAGCATCAACCAAGGATATCTATGCTTTTAACTCTTTGATGCACTTGATGAACATCATCTTGCCCTTCCATTGTCCTGAGTTTGGAACCTAGTGATTCAATCTGTTTTTGGAGATCAACTAAAGTAGAATCCATCTTGGTATGCATCTCAACCAAATGCTTTTCTAACACTGTAACACCATTGTTCTGAGTTTGGACTAGTTGTTGAAACATAGCTGTGAAGTCGGGAACAGCCGGAGGTGGTGCTGGTTGAGGTGGAGGTGGGATAGGTGGTTCAAATTGTTGTCTCTGGCTGAAACCTTGGTTGAGCTGTTGTTGAATGGAACATAAGGTTTGGATTGATGTTGTTGCTGTAATTGAGGATAGACTTGATCATGTGGATTGGCCACATTGTTGTTTCTGTAGGAGAGATTGGAATAAGGTGGCTTGTAACTCTTGTAGCCTTTGTTTTAGCCACCTTGATTCTGTATGTAGCTCACTTCCTCATATGGGTAAGTCCCCCCTTCTTGAATCTGGTGTTGCTCTTCATTTGTAATGTTGTGAATAGGTCTCTCAACGATTGGTCGTGGTAGAGCAATGACCAACTTATCAATCTTTGCATGTAGAGCCTGGATATCCCTCTTATGCCTTTCCTTCATGTAAGTGTTGCCTCGGATTGAACAATCATACTCATCACAATAGTTCCCATCAAATTGAGCTAAGTTTTTCACAAGTTCTCATCCCGATGCTACATCTTTGTTGAGAAAATTGCCATTAGAAGCAATATCTAATAGCATCCTTATCTTGGGCAAATCTCCTCTATAGAGTGTGATAAGCAGTGAAGGTTTCTTAAAACCATGGTGAGGGCAATGAGTAGTGTAGCCCTTGAAGCGTTCCCAAGCTTTAAAAAATGATTCGGAATGTCGTTGTGCAAAACCCGAGATCTCATTCCTTAATCTAGCTGTTCTTTAGTTAGAGAAGAACTTAGCTAGAAATACCTTCTTACAATCAGCCCAAGTGCCTATAGATGAAGCAGGCAAAGTCTTTTCCCAAAGATGAGCTTTACCTCCAAGTGAGAAAGGGAATAACCTGAGCTTGAAGCTGTCCTCACTAACTCCATTGATCTTGGTTAGACTACAGAGTCAATCAAAACTATCAAGGTGATCCAATATGTCCTCCATTGGCAGTCCATGAAACTTGTTACCTTGGATCATGGAGATTAGACCACTCTTGATCTCAAAATTCTCATTCTGAACAGGAGGTGGGACAATACCAGCTCTTTGATGGTAGTTTCTTGGTGCATCTCTAGCACCAATGTTGCCTGGCAACTCACAAACATTCTCCTCATTAGCCATTACTACTTGATCTGAAATGGCTTGTTGTTCTCGCAGTTCACGCTGAATTCTATCAATGTTGTCGCTGTAGTGCAGGAGATTATGAGAGCCACGGGGTCGAGTTTGCATACATTTTGATGTTGCTCGGCGTGTATACTAACCGTGCTAGCAGAGTATGAGTACCCGCAAGACAAAAACAAGCAAATGAAGATAGAAGTTAGTAACCAAAAAGAAGTAAATAGAACTTGATCTTAATAACTCAGAAATCCTAAATGTAACAAGAAAAATACCAAATGGCAACGACGCCAAATTGATACAAGAGTTTTGTGTGTCAATTCCCTAAATGCATTTTATGTCATTGTAGCATTTAAGGTGTCAATCCAATCAGGTGGTATTGTTAACAATCAGGATGTGATCAGAGAATACTAAGTCAAGCCAAGTGTGAATAGGTTTGGTGTGTTTCTACTAAACTAAGCAATAGATTAAAATGCAAATCAAGTTCAGAAATTAAACTATACTAAACAGAAAGTAAAGAACACAAATGATAAAAGCAGGAATGAAACTAAAGACCATGAGCTGTCAAATGCAAGAACTAGAAAATAAACCAAGCACAAAGTGAAGTATTCGGCCGAGCATAATACTTAATCTGGTCGAGTAAAGTACTAAAAACACCAATTTTGCACAAGAAACTAAACAGAACGAGCAAAATACTAAAGACACGACTTTTTGCACAATAAAACGAAAAAAGGCTCTTAAGAATGGGGTAATTGGTTCTAGTGGACTCCTGAATCCATTAGCTAACTAACAAACTAAATCAAGCTATCCCTAGACCATAGATTCAAAACCAGATCAATCAACTTCCATGACAATGATCCTCATAACTTTACCACTTCCTAATCTCAATTTCCTTGATGAAACATAGCAAAACAAGCTTTAAACACCAATCTATTAAAGTCAACAAGCAGTCTAAATATCCAATGTATTGGGCTAGAATCTACAAATCTCTTAAAGAAGTTGATTCAGACCTTTCATCAAACACTTGTTAGGTGGAGAAAGTCTGAAATCAATTTTTAATTGATCAGAAAGAAAATAGCATTAAGAATTGCTAAACAAAAGCGAATCATGCATATAAACACTTAGCTAGCTAAAGAACAGAGGAATCCACATAAACCTAACCCATCCTCAAGAACTCTAAAGAAGACTACTCAAGAACAATGAAGAACATCATAGAACAAAACCCAGAAAAATCATAAAACCCATAAATCATTATAAACTTAGCAAATGATAGATCTCAATAAGATAAACAACTTTGTAGAAGAAATGAAATTCAGATTCTCAACACAACAACCATAAAATGCAAAAGAAATCGAAGAACCCTAATATCCAATAGACAAAAGCAAGATATCTTTAGTAAAACCTTAAAGAGTCTATTTATGGGCAATACTAGGATGCCCTAATTAGGGAAAAGAAAAAACAACTTAAGGCGGCATAGCACCACTCGAGTCTTGGGCTAGTAGAAAAGTCGAGCAGGTCACTTTGGCACATCACTCGGCTTCTGGCCGAGTAGCTTCTCTTCTTCCTCATGTACTGCACTCGACCTCCAACCGAGTGCCTTGGTCTAGTATACTCCTTGCCCTTCTTGTGTCTTCCACTCGACCTCCAGAAGAGTATATATGTCGAGCATGGCACCATGTCCTCCTTTGATCCGCAGACTTGAGCTCGTCCATCCCTTGTGTTAGAGACACTCCCAATCAAGTCCAAAAGTACATGATTCACCTGTAAAACACTTCAAATGCAACTATACTATGTAATGCAATGCAAAATGTGAAAGGAAGGAAAATGGACTAAGAATGCATGAAAAGAGACATGAAACTAAGTTAAATGCATGAAAAACAAGGGCTTAAAATGGTTAAAATCTAGTGTTGTCTGTCTCGAGTCTTCTTGGACTCTCTTCCTTAGTTCTCTTCTATGTGTTCCTCACAGATGGCAGCACGTAGGAGTAATGAGTTGTACTTCTTATCCAATCTCTCAATCGCCTCGTTAAAGGTCGTCTCCTTAGGTTCCAACTTAGACTTTATCCCACGCAACAGGTCGAGGGACTTATCGAACTCGACATGGATTGTCTCGATTAGAAGTTTATAGCTATCTTCTAGACTCTCGATCTTGACCATGGTCGTCTTAGCCTCGTCCTCATAGTTCTTCATCTGAGTCGCCGAACTTAAATTGTTACGAAAGAGAACTTTGAAATCAGACATATGATTCTTTTCGGCTTCGCTTTGGTAGTCGACTAGCTCACGAAGGAGAAAGATTTCCTCATGGAGTTTCTCTTCGTTCTTGTTAGCTCTCTCTTCAAGTTTTCGGAGTCTTTCTTTCAAGACCGCATTCTTGTCAAGGAGCTCTCTAACGGTCGAGTCGTGATCCTACTCTTCCTCGGCTATCCGGATGGCCAATTCTCCGATGGTTTGGGCACTTCCTTGGTTATACTCTAGATCCTTTCCTCTGCTCTTTTCTAGAGTTTGTACCGTCTTTGTCAAGGCGACAACTTCTTTCGTGAGCTTGACCTCCATTCTTCTAAAGCTCAAGGAAAGCTCATCGATCTTACTTGAGAGAATGCCATCAACCTTATCCATCTTGAAGTGGAGAGTCCTTGTGTCTAGCGCTTCTTAGTCCAAGTATTGGCTTTCAAGTCTGACTCTTTTGTCTCCATGGTACGTGAGAGTGATCTTGTAGAGACGAAATCAGGTGGCGAAAGGGTTGAACGGATCAGTTCAAGCTGAACGGGTCCTGGCCTCCTTGGCTTTTATTGCCCGTGCTCTTTCCTCTTCCCAAGGGCGGGGAAGCATTAGGCGGGGCAACATCATCGTTTCCTCTAATAATAGTTTCTTTTAGGGTTTCAGGTTGTCCGAAACCATGGTCTTCGAGAGCGTTTTTCATCGGGAATCATGATAGTCATGCAGTAGTAGGTGTCCTTGAATCTTGCGTAATTGGCTTCTTCTCTCGAAGAATCGGTGAGCCCATCATCACTTCTTGAACAATCATCAGTCCGATCCTCAAGGTCATCGGACTGTTCATGCCCTTCTTGAGTTTTGTAGCTCTCACCATTAGAGTAGGTATCGGCCATCGAATCTTCGTCTAAAGAGACGGCTTCTTCTTCTTCTAAGTCCTCTTCTTGCTCGATTTGGTCTTGAGGAGAAATAGTGGGGATAAGAATCCCTAAGGGTCTTATAGGGTCGGGATTTCCTTTTTCGGAAAAGGAAACTAGGTTTTTTCCGTTTTCCACTAGGAATTCGATTTCCTTTTTTGTTTCCTCCTCATAACGGGCTTGGTCCTTAAGAGACTTATCTTCTTCTTGGCAAGATTGAATGCTTCTCCATTCCGAAATCTCATTTGAGTAAGTGAGCTTCTTCTCTAGCTCCTCAATCTTCCAATCTAGATGGCTCTCAACAATATCGACGGTGAACCCCACATTGACGATTCTAGTGTTTTGTTCTTGGATATCATCTTGGTGGTTAAGGAGAGTGTTGTTAATCTCAACAAGCGCCTCCTCCATGATCTCGAGTCGAATAGTGAGGTCATCAAACTTCTCTCCAAATTCGGCTCTTATATATCTCCATCATCCTTGAGTTGATCCTCATCAAGACGAAGTCTCGGATGAGACCAATCAGTCTATCTTCCGCCTCGGCGGTCTGGTAGGGCTCATTAGTTTGGTAAGCATAGTTGTTCGGATAAACATCTACACTCATCACCTCTTGCAAGTATCCTTGGTCATATCTGAGATCTTCATGTCGGGCAACTCCATAAGGATGAGAAGAGTGAGGTCCTCCCACGCGTTGATCTCCAAGAGATGGTACGCAGTGGTGGAATGGGCAAATCGAGCGGTTATCTTGCAGCCGGTTCTGAACGAAGGCGGCAGAGTGATCCATAGAGTAGTGATTGGTCCGGTAAGCTCCTCCATTAGACGGTCAAGATTGCCAAGACTCGCCATGCATTTGGGATGCATCGGGCGTGTAGTGGTCAATTGAGAAATGTGATCCGCGGTTTGACCCATGATTCACATTCGGGTAGTAGCTTTTGGGATAATTTCTCAAATACATCCTTTAAGCTTCTTGAAACAAAGAAAAACAAAAACAAAAATTAAAAGCAAAGTGTCGTAGAGTTCACTCTAGTTCTTGGACTTGTGGAACTAAGAATCTCTTCCCGGCAACAACGCCAAAAAGATTGATGCGTGTTTTATTTTGCCTCAAGCGTTTACCTGAAAGACCACACGACTACTGCAAGTGCACAGTATATCGGAGTAGTATTTTAGGATCGAATCAACGTGGAGAGAAGTAGTTCAGAGAAATCCTTAAGAAGAGAGTGAAGCTAGGACCAAAATAAAAGAGAGGGGGTTGTTGTATGCAATAAGTAACCAAAATTAAAGACAAGTAACTAAACTAAACTGTAAGCAATAAGAGAGAAGCATTAGGTCTGCGGGGGTTTCTCCTGATGTCATGGTTCAATAAATAAGGTATAGATCTCAATCTAAGTGATAATATGGTTAGGTTTGTTTACTTCCAAATTCTCAGACATACGAAACTCTATCAAGACTAGCTAACCCTAATGGTTAATCGGTGAAAGGCGGCTAT